TAAATCACGGAATGTGCCTCAACAGGTCAGGGTGCAAGAGTCGGCATACTGGTGCTTACAAAGAGTTCAATTTCATACCTTGTAAGAGGTAGGAATATAACCCTCACACCGCGGCTGCCAACTTTATTAATAATATGTTGGATACTAGATTGTTCGTGCAAATACACTGTAATATGGTGATAATGCCTTGCGGTATTGAGTGTCGAAATATGACATGTAAAATCTAACAAGATAAATTGAAAATTAATATTCATGTCTATTGCTCAATGTAACATTTTGATAATATTATCGTATCTTTATTTGTGAGATTCTTGTGCTTGGTTGCATATGGGAGAGTTCGATATTAACACTAACGTGGTGTAAATGGGTATAAAATCCCAACTAGTCTTTCTTTCTCCTCTTCTTATCCACTTGGTCATTGATAAGTTGATTTTGACCTTATGGGGCCCACCAAAGATGGACATTTGGTAGTGCTTTTATCGTTTATATACTTAATTTGTGTAATTATTGATCATTTTAAGACAAAACCCAATATTGGACGAGAAAAGATAAAAAGAAATGAAAATTGATCAATAGGATTGAAGTTGGACGGATTCTATGATTTAGAGAGCAAAGTATCTATTTTGGAAATTGAAGGACATGCATTGCAATAATGGAAGCCTTGTATTGATTGGAAAAGATAATCGAGGGACTGATTTGTACAGGAATGGAAAACATTGACCATTGCGATCTCAAAGTCCTTGTAGAAGAACCGAAGTCACATAAGTTACACTATGAAATCACACCCTTCTCTTAGGTGCAATTGCGTAGGCCAAAGGAGGCCTAGAAACTGCTTCTCCTAATTCGACTCATATCTGATTTTGACATTATATGGCAATGTTCAACCCTATTATAAACTATAAATAGTTTCTTCTATTCTCTTTAAAGAGAGACGCGACTTGAGCCAAAATACATAATTTCATCTTTATACTCTGGATTTGTGGTTAGGATTCAAAATTTGAAGGCGGAATACCATAAGATTAGACGATAAATCTGCAATAATCAAGAAAAGTTGAAAAATCATAGTTGGGACTCGTGTGGCGAAGAATATCAATTGTTGGGATTTCTTCTCTCTTTTCATTGTACTTGAACCTGATGATGTTCTTTATCCTTTATTAGTATTTTTGGGGGTTGCGGCTAATTGTTTAATTGTCAGGATAAACGATGTAACTTAAGTTATAAATGTTGAGTTAGTTCAAAGATTTCATGCCGATTTCATGCATGTTAATTGCTTATTTTGTGCCAAATTAAATTAAATTTCTTGATCACAAATTAATAAATTTAGGGGCGATATTGATATTGATATTGAGAGGTGATGTATTTGTCTAACTCGTACAATAAGCGACATAGGTTTTGATAAGATATTGAAAAATACTCTTATAGTTTATACAATCTTAAATTAATTATGCGTTTATATATGTTGAAATTTACGTAGATATAGTAAATTTCTGTAGTTAAATTTAGTTAACAATCATGCTACATTTACATTCTCTTTTACATTAAGTTTGACACTCTTCAACATGATATCCGTCATAGCCATTGATTTCCACAATACTATATTACATTATTGGTCAGATTTTGACACTTAGGGAGAATGTCAACAACAATATCAAGGAGAATGTAAATATAACTTAATTCATTAATTAATTCGATTGTTAACATACATAAAAAGGGACCGTAGTATATTGAATTAAGTGAATGATAATTGACCTAGGTGGAATCGGAAGTTCTAACTACTTAGCCCTTGTTTTCTAGAGATTAAAATCAAAATTTTAGTAGATTTTGATAAAAGATGATGTAATATGTGATTGAAAAGTTGTGGGCTCCATGAAATATGTGGTTAAAGTTAATTGTTAATTTTGATTTGAAATTTTAATTGAATTTTAATCCGAATTAAACGAGCGCTTAATCTCGTAAATCTTTCATAATATCTTCAAGCATTGATTGTGTTGGATAGAGTTTAGTATAATTTTTATTTTTCAATTCAAATATTAAGTAGTTAATTGATAACTACATTAATTTAATTTGAAGTTAGCGTTAGAATAAAAGTTGATTGTGAATAATTAGTATATGAAGGAATGATAATTGAATTTTAATCCACTTTATCACTTTTTACAATAATAACATAGTCTTGCCATTTAGGCAAAAAACCTTCCTCCCAGGTCACTTCGGAATAGTATTGTATCAACGCCAGAACTTGAGAGCCCATTTGACTTATGTTTTAATTTTCAGTTCTAAGTTCATTTTCAATTTTTTATTTTGATGATTTTTTTAATATATCTAAAAATGCGTTTGATTTTTCATTTTAAAAAATTATTTCTCAAAATAGAAAATTAGAAAATACATTTGATTTGAAGTTTTGAAAAATTGTTTTATGACATTTTATTGAATGAAATTTGATTATTCAATAAAAATAGAACAATTATATATTAATATATTATCACATAATATTACATTATAAAGTTGGTGAATCTTATAATTTTTTTTTAACTACAAAAGTAAAATAAAAATAAATAATAAATTGAGTTTAAAATATATGAAATAAAAATTAATAAAGTGAACTGAGAATATTTTTACCCGTGTTCACTTAAATATTTTTTTAGAATTTTTATGTAAATAATCATTAAAAGTTTGAGCTATTTTTATTTGTTACTTATTAGTTTTTTTATGATTTTTATTTTTTTAGAAGTTTTCATAATTTTTAACTTTGGAAGTTATTTTTCTTTATTTTATATTTTTCATTTTTTAAATTTTATTTAAACAAATTCTATTTAAACGCTTGTTTTTCCATATTTTGAGTGTTTTCAAAGTTTTCACTGAAAACGTTCAAAACATCAAAAATATTTTTTGAGTTTTATGTTAAAGTTTATCCTTATTTTCGAAAATGCATTTTAAAAAATATTAGATCAAACACGTTTTTAATATTTTGCAAAATAAAAAAACTGAAAACAATTTGAAAATAGCAAACCAAACGCTAACCTGATTCTTTGGTGTATCTTCATTTTCTATTGCCACTTTATGAGACGAATCTTGCTACATGTATATTAAGATTTACATAATGTCACGTGACACTCTACAATTTGTCAGTTTAAAATACAATTAACGTTTTCATCCAATTTTTTCTCTCTACTTGGACATTAGCAAAATCCTTATTAGATTTAGGGTCTAAGCTATCAGAAGGCGGTTGGCTGAGCCTGACCCAGCTTCCAAATCGAGAATTATAAATTTTAAGATAAAACGAAATTTTGAAAAATACGTACTTAATTGTTGCATTGCACAGTTAACTACTGTCTTTTAACGATAACTACACTTATGCTCGATTCTATCCAAGGTAGTCGGGTAGTTCAGTGGTCTACCTCATTACAACTCCAAAATCTTTTGTGGCTTTAGCATCAAACGACATATACATTTGTATGTATATATACCACCCACCCACCCCACCACACCTCTCTATGAAATTTTGTCTTGAAAGCAAAGAAAACTAACTGAAACCAAACCTATCAACTTCCTATATTTTTACCTCATTCTCCCTTTTAGATACAATATGGAACTCCAAACTGATTTCGACTGCCATAAGAAGCCGGTTACGACCATGGATTTCCATTCTAAGGTCGATAGTTCGCGCCCTTTTCGCTCGGTAAAAGAGGCCGTCGCCATATTCGGCGAGAAATTCCTGGCCGGAGAAATCTATTCACCAAAACCTTTCACGTTTCCAAGGCAAGAAACCCCATATTTTTCACCAACCGCACAAAATCTCCAAGAACCTTCATGGATATCCCCCCCTAGTCCGCAAGATTCCATTTACAGCAATGAAAGTTCCCTTGTCGAAACTGTAAAAAAGCTCGAATCCGAGCTTGAAGAAACAAAAACAGAACTGAATTTACTCAAAGAAAGAGAGTCCGAAACTGAGGTGGCATTGGCTTCATTGAATGCCGAGCTGCACAAGAACATGTCAAAACTAGCAAAGGCCGAGGCGGCTATGGCCGCCAAGGCGGCAACAGCAGCAGTGGCTTCATCAAGACCAGTTGAAACTTCACAAAGTTTAGCTCAAATTCTGAGTATTGCTGAGGAAAAGGAAAATTTATTTACAGGGAGGAAGAGGGAAGGAAAAGTTATGAAAAAGAAAGTTAAACCCATAATTCCTCTTGTGGGAGATTTGTTTTCAAGGAAAAAGGGTTCATCTACAAGTATGAATAATCCTCCTTTTGCATCTTCTCATGTGCAGTTCTGGAATTGAAGGAAACAAAAAATGTTTAATTTCATCACACAGTAAATTAATTATGGTGTGTCTGAGGGTGATGAAATGCAATTATTTTTATTTTTTATATGCATTTTTTAAATTTGAGATAAAGGAAAAACAGTGTGGGGAAATTAGTTGTTGGTAACGAAGACCCCAGCCCTATCATTTGATGTGGTTTAAATTCTGTAAATGTGTGTTTTTATAGTTGTTTGCTTGTAATTTTTTAATTAAGAATATATCTTTTGACCACCTTAATTAGAGTTTAGTTTTCCTTAAAAGTTATTTTTTTTCTTTTATATCTTTTGTTATAACAATAAAGACATGAGTACTGAGAAAACTTAACAGAATGTGTATTGATGTTGACGTGGCAATATATAATTGGAACAGAATGTGTATTGATTTTGACGTGGCAAAATATAATTGGACCTTTTTCTTTCCATCTTCTAATGATCCCCGTCACGTATTGTCTATAAGAATTTTCTATAAAAAAATTATGTACTTGTAGCATGATTTTTTGTTACAATTATTTTTAATTTGATGTAATTGAAAATATGTCCTCTCAAATATTTTGGGAAATTTCCACGTAAGGTTCCCAAGCATTCACACACGAGTCATGCTGAGTGTACAAAGATGGATTACAAAAATGGTTTACAAAATGTGATGTGGCACCTTGTCAATCAATCATTTAAACAACACTTTTTGAAATCAACACCATAGATTTTGCCACATCATTTTGT